AGGAGTGAACAATCATTTGATAGGAAGTCAGACTTTCAAAGCAGCAAGCGCATTAAATTATTTCGCAATGCAGTTAACAACCCCTCTTGAAAACCAGTCCAATCTTTTTGGGAGCTTTCTAGAACCAAACTAACAAATGAACGAAAAATTAAACAGCTAACAATTTTTTTTTGTATTGCTGAAAGCATATCAGTCTACAATTTGATTAACCTATAATTTATCCTGAAATGTATATCTCAATCACCGAGGAATACTGGCCATTCAGTGTAATATTTCAAGGTGGGCTAATGAACCAATTAAGTGGTAAAATTGGTCTAAATTAACTGGAGCATTATGAGTTAATCGTAAAATTCAGCATTCTAGTTTTCATTTGATTGAGTGATTGCACTTTGCCAAGTTTTTGATCACCGATTGAGGTGCATCGTGGCATCTCATTCTAGTAAGTAAGGTATTATTTGAATCCGCATCAACTTTCGACCACGTGTCATAGAGACGAATAGAAAATATCACCTCCCCCCACCCCCCACCACTCTTACCCATCTCTACCTCAGGTCATGTGAACGTGGGTGATATTACCCAGCTGGTTCGGACTGGACTAACAAACAATTTGATCCAGTTGTCAATTTCATTCACCTACATTACCATCTTGACGACACGGAAACGGGATATAAGGTCCTACTAAACGGTGTGACCAGTCGAATTATACCGATATCATTATGACCAGTTATCACGAGTTGGAAAAAGAAGTGAGTTGGGAAATCAATGCGAACCGAAATTCTCACCTAAACGAAGAACTCGAATTGCTTTTCGTGCACTCCAGAAGGGATGGTTGGGGGGGGGGGAGGGGGTACACGAAGTGACTATTCTAAAAATAAATTTATTTATGTCCCCGATTTGAAGCAAAGTGAACTTGGCCTTTAAGCTGCAGCATTGGCAACTATTAGAGTTTCAAACAAAGATATAGTGCTTACTAAAATCTAAGACCGAAATCATTGAAGAAGAGGGGAGAGAGAGACCAATAAAATGGGATAGTGTCTACTGGAGGTGGGGCGGGGGGAGAGAGAAAGTAATAGGAACAGTCGTTTTCCTATATTTTTCAGAGTCGAGAGATGGAAGGTCGAGGTGGGGGGGTGTCGGAGGGGTGGATGTTGGGGTAACATGCACCCCTCATTAGGACAGAGATTAATGTTAAATTTGTTACGCTAACTATAATTTTCTCTTGGAAGAAGAAATTGTTCGTGCACTGATTTGCCATTACCCAAGATTATGGTTTTTATAATTTGCACAGTTGCCAATTTTATGGACAAGGAAGAAATAAGGCTTGAATTTTCAAATAACTGTTCACTTCCGAGAAAAAATACCGTGTTTAGAAGTGGAAATGAAGACTGAAGCTATGGGCAACCAGAAATAATATTTATATTTACTTTAAAAATATCTCGATCCTGATTTCTCTCATTACTCGAAAAACTGCCATTCAAAATCGTTATGTGCCAGTAGCGAGAGATGTTCAAGTGCACTTTGAGTAATCTTCTTCTAATTCCATCAATCGACTCTTTAAGCACCTCGATTTCCCAAATACTTGGAAAAATCCAACCGTTCTAAAGCTTCAGAGTCCCATTGAAGCCGATTTACGTTATATGTTATCTAACCAGTAATCCATGAGGTGCTCCCAGAATATTACCAAAATGGATAATTATTTACCTTTTAATATCAAATGGAGGGCTTTATGAGAGTTATCATTAGCCCTTTAATTGACTTCTGGCTTCAAATAGATAGGAGGAACATCAATGTCACAAAAAGTCGTGGAGGTAGAGAAAAGGTGAGCTGAGTACCGTGTTAGTGATGGAATATGACATACAGTGGAGTCATGGCAGCTTGATGGCAGGTGTCAACTCCCTGTTTATGAACTTTATGCGTATATGTATGTGTTGCCAGGGTGCACCTCGTGGAGGTAAGTCTTTCGTGCACCCACCAATATGGATATAGTCCCTGTCATTTCCCTCCACACTCGATCATTTAGAATGGAAGAGAATTTGTGCAGTTGATAAGCAAATATGGGGAGATTTGATCAATTTGATATATTCTAACATATTACCTTGATAGGATGATGACTCAATTAGTGGACTGCACAATATTTTGGTAAATATTTCCCATTGCTTGAGCCTTGCGTCATCCCATGTTTGGGTCAAATCGGAATGTTGGTTGCCCAAATCCCAGGTGCATGTATAGTGCATCACCAATAGGTGAACACCTGGTTACTACATTATTTTTGTTCGGTTTAAGCCTATTGAGAAAGGAGTTACCTATGGGAGCATTTTAATATGATGGTACCGAAACTCAAAAGAATTAAAACCCTCTCCTCTTGTAGTATGGGAAGATGCTTTCTTACACCGACGGCAAGTGATTTACCCCAACCAGTGGGATTAGGCGGAGAATTTGGAATTGAGAGGATCAACATTAATGCCACAATTTTTTGAAATGGAACTATTTATTCCTCTGGATAAGCTTTTGTAAGGAGTTGAGCAATTCGCTGTTTGTTGAGAAACCTTGGTGTAGTAAATGGTGGTTTCCAGCCACTTGAGTAAATCTAATTAGCCCACAAAATTGCTCATATTCCAGAACTCAATAATAACACGTTGTAGGGGAGTTTTGGGAATTTACCAAACCGTCGGAATGAATGAATCCGTACAAAATTGTTGAAGCAAAGCCCATAGCTGAGACCTTGAAACATCAGCCAACATTAGCTCCACAATGTAGAGCCTAGAGAGGAGGGGGGAGAGAGGTGAGAGGAAGTCGAGATGAGAAGGAAGCACACGAGCCGAGAAGTGACAATCGGGCGCCTGTGTTTGGACGCATCAGAGAACAACGCGTCTTTATAATTTACGCGAGCAAGGACTCACGTGAGAGTGGGCCATGGGCACAGATGATTGAGGATGGAGGATAAAGGCAGGAGAAAATGACAAGGGGTGAATTTTGCAAAAACATAGAAGTAATTCATGAAGATCATTACAGTTCATCTTCACACACAGTATCTTTAATCATACGCTGCTACTGCGTTAAACATTAAGGTGATTCGCAAACTTGTCTAATACGTCAAACTTTAGTTCTAGAAACCTCAAATAAGATTATTGAAATACCGATTTTTTTCCGGTCAAATTGTTTTCCGCTCATTAACACGCTTATCCTTTCGGAATAATTAATTAAAAAAACATCTACTCAATAAGCTCCTCCTACATTCCTCTGGATAAGGTTGGGGTCAAATGTTTTAAAATGCGCATTATGGGCTATGAGCTTTCCGTCAAGTGGTCAAAAGGTTTGGGGGTCATCAGAAAGATCGATTTAAACTCGTGCGATTAGCCGGTTTAACTATTGAAAGAAGTGCTCAAGATTTGTAGTTGCCAGTATTCCAGCCAACTAGCAAATATTCTAGGATTAATCAAGATTACACATAAAAATTTTCTCACCACACGGATAAAATAACAGCTACTAATTGGGATCCAACAATAGACTAATCCAAAAAGATGAGATTTATTTCCTATAAATAAAAGTTTATTTAAGCAGTTAGTGCAGGGTTCGTTTAATGAGACAGATCAGGGAAGCCCAAAATTCTCCATAGGCCAGATACTTTTTATTGTCAAAATAGGTGTCAAATTTGCAAGAATAATTACAACTTGGATAAAATATAAAGAACTCCAACTAAAGGTAAGGTTGCCAAATCTGAGGAGCAGAAGACAATCTGGATCTTTTGGACGTTGAAGGTTCATGAGGCAATGAGGTGGATTGGTTGGGATCATTGCCAGGAAGAGAAGGAAGTGTCTGCTCAAGACCACTGTCTGTACTATCCATTCTCCTTCCACGACATTCAACTGGTGTCGAGGTAGTTTTGATAGAAGATGGAATGTGAGAAAGAGGAGAAATTGGGACTTCACTCAATCCTGATGGTACATTCTCCACTTCTTCTCCTTCTCCTACCACTTTTCCATCCACTTCTTTCTTTTCTTCCCTCATAGGAGATACTGCAGCATTCTCTACACGAGTGTTTGTCTTAGTAACTTTAGGTGTTAGTAAACCAGGTGTTAGAATTCTCGCTCTCAAATCCGGATCTTCCATCATATTCTTGTATACGGATTCCATCACTTTTTGAGAGTCTTCCAACATACCACAAATCTCAGTTTTTGGAGATTTCTGAAACACACAAAAACGTATTTTATGAGGGGGGAGGAGAGAGATGTGTGAAATAAACATAACCTCATTATTAATTAATTCGACAATTCCAAGTTCAACTAGGACTAAATTAGCGGGGGGGGGGGGAGGTGAGGGGGAGACTGAGGTCTGCACAAAATACTGTTATCATTAGATGATAAAAGAGGACTTACTTCACCAGACATCTCGAAAACGCGATCATATATGGCCTTGATGAGGTCGTTGAATCTCAAGCGCCGTTGTCGTTCCAGACGTCTCTTTCTTTCCTATATATATGGAAGCAATATTTTAGAATCTTTATTCAAACAGCGAAAAATTGACAATGTTCAGAGGAAACTTATCACAAATTCGAAGCTCACCTTTCTGTTCCTTTCTTGTTCACTCAATTGGGTAGACGTTCCTTGAACTGCCGAGATCGATTCAGAACTTACACTGGGAGGAGTAGTGCGGCTGATGGTTAAATTCGGCATTTTGTACTGATTATTCTGATTGTTCATTGGCACAGTTCCTTGATTGTTGTTAGTCGAAAAAAATGGGCATGCGATTACTGGAAAACAGTTCTATTTACTGAATTGCTTTAGCTCTTTAGTCTGAATAGTCACCCCTGAAAATACTATTGGCCCACGCGTAGCCAATCAAATTTGTGATGTGTCACATTTGCCTGTGACAGCTAATCAGAGGGGTGCGAGTAGCTTAAGTGGTGATTAGTTTTGTAAATTTTAATAAATCCAACATTTCTGAATATTTATCAAGGATGTGTGACTAGTATGATTGACTTAAACTATGTAAATGCAAAGTTATTTGCATTTGGTTATTTTATCGTCAATCTTTGCCCGAAATAAAAATTGTTACTTCCATATTCAGAACCTTTAAGGTGGATGATTTTTTATTTACCTTTGAAATTTGATAATAACACAAAAATGATAAAAACTATACAATATAAGAGTTTATTCGTGCTTGTGGGTATATGAATTTATTGAGCTACATAGTTCTCGTGTTAATCAACAAATAGTACACGACTCATTCGAATTGGTGTCGATTGTTTTATATTCGACTGTTGTTATCTTCGGCTGCTCTCAGTGAGGTAAACACACCTTTCTCCACTCCCACCTCCTCTTTCATTTAAATATCTTAAATTATATCCAAAAAAACCTTATCTGAATAAAACAAAATCTTACTCAGTTGATATCTTAATTTCACCGACCTAACAACTCCTCGGTAGACCTAATGGAGGCGTGATTCACTCGATAAGACGGTATTGAGTCATTGACCCACTTACTTTATTAAACGCAAAAGTATGAACTTAATTATCTTACATTGTGGCATGTGGATCTGTGACCTAGGTCATAGGGGGGTGGGGTGGGAGTGGGATTGCAGTTCAAATAATGCCCTCTATAAATAGATACGACCACACAGTGTGCCTTCTTGATAGAGATTGGTTAGCATTCTTCACCACACCCCATCAATACCATTGGAGATGACA